GTAGGGAAAAAACGGATGGACACCAAGCGGGGATAGTGGGGTGGGGAGGTGGTGTTGTCAATTGGGAGATTGGGATTGACATGTATACACTAATATGTATAAAATAGATAACTAATAAGAACCAGCTGTATTAAATAAGTAAAGTTAAAAAAAAATGAAAGAAACACTTTTATTGAAAAAGCAAAAAAAACTGGATGGGGCCACCTACCCTTCACCTGGGCCTGTGCAAGGGTCTGCTCCATGACCTTTTGAACGTGCAGAGACCTGTAGCTTTGTTATGCCTGTACATTTTTTCCCAATCATTTTCCCCCATGCTTCCCACACTCCCCACACCTCAGACTGCCCTGCTTCTTTATTCTTTATGACATAAATACCCTGAGCCCCTTGCCTTCAGGGAGGTGCATTTGAGATTTGTTCTCCTGTCTTCTTGCTTGGCTATATTGTGAAGAAAACTTCTCTTTGCTGCAGACCTCGAGGTCTCAGCTTTTTGGCTTGCTGTGTGTTGGGCAAGATGAACCTGGTTTGGTAACATATGTGTGTGTGTATAATTGTTTATGATTGTCAGTTTATTAGTCTCTCCCACTAGATGGTGAATTCCTTGAGGTTGGGGTCTATATTTTGTTCATTTCTGTAAACCCAATATGTAGCAGTCAATAAATGAATTCAATAATGGAATAAATGAAATAATGAATTTGAAAAAAAAAGAATGCTACACTTCCTTTGACAGAGTAATCATTAATATTGTTCTCTCTCTGATAGCTTCTCATGCAGCTTCATATAGGTTAACCACTTTGTTATATAGAAGGATTAATTATTAAATTTTTAATTCTCTTTTATGTCTTACATTACAATTGTAAGTATAAATTATATTAATTGTATATGTGTTTGGATCTCCTTAGAGGAAATAACCTTTTTTTTTTCCTGGTTTTTCAAATAGCACTTAAAATTCATCTTTCCAAATAATTTGGCTTTCCTTATAAAGAATATAATAGTGAAAAATTCTCTGAGGTTGTGTTGAAGGAAGTTTAATATTGAAATTGTTCAAATTGGATTATTTTGAAATATTTATTAAATCTTGGTCCATATATTCTAGTTACCTTATAACTGTTCTATTTGATTTTTCCTTTTAATGTGTTTTAACCTCAGCATTGTAAATTGATTTAATAAAAATGCCTCTGTTTTCTCCTGTTATCTGATAACTTCTTAATGACAACTAACAGCTTTTGTGAAAGCAGCACCATTAGTCCTAATGGAGAGGGAGGACAACTGATATGGCCTGAGAAAGGTTAAAGATGACTAGTGACCCTTTGGCAAATCTGTCTGCAAATCTGTCTGCAACAGAACAGAATAAGAACCATGCTCATTTGAATTTTTGGTCACAGTAGATTATCTGACACATTCGTTATAGTCTTATGTTCAGCACTTTACAGATTAGTTATGTGAATATTCTTGTAATATTCTTCAGATTGTGAGGACATTAGTGCTCGCTGATATGACTCTAACATGGAAACAAATTTTTCCTAGAGGCAAAGGTCTTTACTAATGTAGAAAGCTTCCAGCACTCCTCTCTCACACCCTGCATTAGACCTTATTTTGAAAGTTAATGAGCTATGATAGATAGTACTGTCATGTTACTTACTATACAAAGTAAAGATTTGATGACTGTTAAATTTTGGGTTTAATTTTTTGTCCACTGATAAGAAGACCCAACCAATAGTCCTAAGTTGTTTTGTTTTGTTTTGTTTTGTTTTGGTGAGAAGCATCATTAACTCTTTCTGTAATACTAGCCTTTAACGCTGAAATATACTACTCTTTTTCCCCTCTTTCTGGAGTTTTTTTCCTAGTTCTCTTCTATTAACTTTTCCCTTTATCTTGTGGTTTGCTTTGGTACATTACCTCCACTTTCTGTGTGCTCCAGTTATTTTAGTTTTATTCCTTTTCATTGGTATAAGAGCATGAAATAATAAGCTCAAGGGCAAATGGGGAGGATAAACAATTAAAGACTTTAAACCTGAAAGGCATTCCTTTGATAAAGGGTTAGCTCCGTTTAAGTGGGAGCATCTCCATTAGCATTAATGGAGTAAGTACATCAGCTGAAGCAGCTCAGAGGTTAATCAGGCTTCCTGGCCCGCTTTTGACATCAATATACTGTGGCGCCTGGTTTTGCTGGTCCTTCAGAGGCTTTCTTGACAACACTCTAACAGACTTTGTGTAAGTCATTTCTTGTGAATTATTGAAACAAATGTTTGGCTGCTAATTGAGGAGCACTAATGTGTTTTATAATCACTGCAGTTTGAGTTTTTAGCACTAAACAAAACAGTTACAATTGATTTGTGGCTTTTTCTTGGTTTCAGTCAGCTGTAAGTTATATCATTTTGCTTGAATTCAGCAAATGGCTTTCCTGGTTATTTTATTTAAGTATTTATTAGGATACACTATGACGGTTTTCATTTCTCCTTCCCAGTATGCATTTGTGTACTGAATTCATGAAGTGTGTGAGATCACAGGTAGTAACAGGAATAGATTACAAGGTAATACTGGATAGTGGTTTGGAGATAGTCCTAGTTTTGAGTTCTGGCTTTGTCGTTGGCTGGCTGTTTGAGCTGCCATTTTCTTTAACTTCTGTAGCCTCAATTTTCTCTTCTTTAAAGAGTAGAGGTGTTTGAGGATATCTGTCCAGATCATTTTTGTTAAAGAGCCTTAACCATTTCTGAGTTCATAATCAAGTTTCCATGGAACATAGCTACAGTAAAATAATACATATATTATGTATGTTTCCTTTTTTTTTTTGCGGTACGTGGGCCTCTCACTGTTGCGGGCTCTCCCGTTGCGGAGCACAGGCTCCGGACGCGCAGGCTCAGCGGCCATGGCTCACGGGCCCAGCCGCTCTGCGGCATGTGGGATCTTCCCAGACCAGGGCACGAACCCGTGTGCCCTGCATTGGCAGGCGGACTCTCAACTACTGCGCCACCAGGGAAGCCCTGTTTCGTTTTTTTTTAGTTCCATGTGGTTGTTGTTTAAATTACATTTAGGCCTTTATAAACAACCTTTTTTGCCTAGTAGCATTTATAAATTAATATTTGAAATGCTGTATATATAATATACATTTTAAAATTTAGCTATAGCATATGCCAGAATATAGGTCCATAATTATTTTAAAAAGAGCAAGTCACGGTATTGAAGATTAATTTGAAGTATTTTAATAAAAACTTTTCCTCACAGTATGAGGATATGTGTCTATTGTATCATGCATAATTTCTGATATGTCCATGTAATCTAGACAACTTATTTTGGCTCTAATGATTAGATATGTTAATGTGTTTATGAATCACATAATTTTCTCTTTGTTTTCACTTTCTTCCCTTTCAGACAAAAAGAGAAAACCCTGTTACTTAATGTGATTGTTTGTTAATGGTTATGAGAATAATCAGATGAGATTCACATAAAAGAAAACATGCACATGAGTTAGTTTCATCTCTTTGTTTTCAATGAAATGGAACTAAAATGTAATTCTGAAACGTCTTAAGTTGTCTTTAATTGAAATAATTAATTATTAATTAATCTCTCTCTGTTAGCAGAGAGAAAAGAACCTTCTTGGTTAATTTTATATGACATTTCATTCATCTAGTAAAAGTATCTTGGATGGAGACTGTATTTTCTACATGCCAAATCTTGATGTACAATATTATATAATATCGTATTATAGATTTAACTTGGAATCCAAGTTGTTTTCACATATGAATTCTACCAGTATCTCAGTCTTTTTCCTGCTAAAAAGTTGACTCAGTATTAGGTTTATACTGTTTAAAAAATAGAACATCACATAGTTGCTACTTCTTAATATTTCACATATTTTAAGTTATACGCATTGAGGAGAGGGGAAAAATAAATATTGTTAATAAAAGTATAATTGTATCCTCATGTGAAACAAACTCTTTAATTATTTACCTATAGCTTTATTCTCACCATGCTGGCTTTGGGGAATCTACTGATACCATTCACTCAATCTAATACCAATTTTCTAACTAAAATTTAAGATCGTATAAAAATCAGACTGAATTTCTGTGACAGTGCACTGCTACGTATAAGCTTGTTAGAGAATAAAGAATTTAATGTGAATTAACAAAACATGTATTACTATTTAGAATCCAAATACTGATGTGAAGTCATACATTTTACCTTTCATTGTATAGACATTGAAAACTGGCCTGACAATGGTTGGGAAGGTGGTGACTCAGCTGACAGGCACGCTGCCTTCAGGTGTGACAGAAGATGATGTTGCCATCCATAGTAATTCAAGGCGGAGTCCTCTGGTCCCAGGCATCATCACAGTAATCGACACTGAGACAGTTGGAGAGGGCCAGGTAAGAACATGTGATGCATGTAATGTTCATTTTGTGCAGAGGATGGAGTGACTAACAATATCATTTGATCAATATCATTTGATCAATGATCAAGATCATACAAAATGTATTTGGAGATGTGTTAATTTGGAATTGTAGAAAATTAAGGTTATCTCAGGTTAGAATTTTGTTTTTTTTCAAAAAATGATGAGTAATTATTGTACAACACAGGGAATATAGCCAATATTTTATAAAAACTATAAATGGTGTAGACCCTTTTAAAAAATGATGAGTAACATGTTAAAACCTATTATTTCAGACATTGTTAATGTATCAAACCTGAAGGTAAAATTGAGGTTCTATAGAATTCTCTTGCTATCTCTTCATCAGGACATTTGTTCCATAAATAAATAATTATATATCTCTTTTATACTGTTTAGTACTGTTTCTTTTTTTTAATGACACTTGTTATAACTTAGACTAATTATGACTAATTATGATGGTAATAAATGACAATAGTATTAATAAATTTTATTACAAATTTTATTACAGATACTTCCTTATAAATATGAAAAAATACAAAAAAACTCAAAGAGTATATTAGAATATATAAATGGTAATAACTTATTATAAGATCTTATATCTTCACATAAAACAGATTTTTACAGCCTATGTTCAGAAACATTTAGGAGTGATTATAAACATGGAGAAATATGTTATGCTTATGTAAGTCTTGCTAGAAAGAAACCAGTTGCGTTTTGTTTTTCTTCCTCATACATTTATAGACAGTATTTTCTTTTGAATCATAGTCATGAATTTTAAAATACATTTCTGAAAGGAAGGTAATTTTCATGGTTTGTGATCCTTGCTATAAATACACAATGTAAACCTGATTACTAGAATGAGATAGGAGTAGAGCAAGATTTGGAAATAGAAATTATTTTAATTTTATATAGAATTTATATTTAATTCCATTTTCAGGACATAATTATGTGACCCATTAAAATATTAACCCTAAATATTGCATGTTCTTTTGAGAAAATCTGCTTCCAGTATATGTGGTTCTACATCTTGATGAAAGATTACATTTGGCTGGTACTCATATACTAATTCCTATAGTAAGATCAAGTGGCATTTCAAAAAAATATGGACTGTGCTGCAATTAAAACACCCCCAGAAATCTTTGAATTTCTGGGTTATTGAATCTGGCTCTCATATTTTATTTAAAATCTGAATAATATAATTCTCTGCCTTTCCCATCTTAACTTTGTGGTTAATCAGATATGTTACAGACTTGTATTCCTGTTTAAAACTCGTTTTAATGAAGTGCTAGCAAACTTGTAATTACTTTTTTTAAAGTTGTGTTAATTAGCTCAAGTTGATAGACACATACAGATGTTCTCTTTTTAAATTGGAATTAAATATATAAACCCTTAGTGTTCTATGAGTGTTAAAGTAAAAAATATTTTCTTTTGTCCTTCGATTCTTAATTAATTCACCTCCAAGGCCACCCACATTTACTAAGTAGTAACAACCCTCCTCAACACTGTCTAGTTTGGTGAGTGGATTTAAATCTGTTGAGCTTCTAGCATTTGTTGACAGACTGATTTGTGGTAATTTAAAAGTTGAAAATGTTATCTCTTATTATTTTTGATGAAATAGAGCTATAACTCATTAATTTATGTAATGAGTAAAAAGAAAAATTTAATTTATACGAAAAGCATAGCATTAGGTCTTGTGTTTTCACATGTGGTTTCTTTGGTTTTTTTTTTCCCCTAGTTCTTTGTTAACTTTTTATAACTTTAAATTGGAATTCTCACATTTGGAATATGGAAGTGAACAGTAGATTGTACAAAAGTTCATTTTTCTGTGATAAGTGCATTGTTAACCCTGGAAACAAGTAAAGTTGTTCATTAGGAAATAAGAATCATAGAAATGTTAGCTTTTAAAAGTTAAAAAAGTCAAAGTGTTGCTCAACCTGAAAAGTTTTATCTTTTCTATTATTTGTTGGGAGCATAATCTCTTTTCATTCCTACTTATAACATATTCTGCAATTTTGATTGATTTAAAAATTCTAATAAAAGACAGGAAATAAATAATAAGTTGCTTTGTGCATTTTGAAGGAATTATCAATATTTTTTTAAGCAATAAGATTTCCTCAATATAATACTGTCTTCTTTTATTAATGTGAATCTGTTTTTTGTCAGGAAGACATTTTTGTCTCTGATAAGTAGTTCAGTTGAAGTACAAAGCTGTTTTTAGGTTATGCTGGATTGTATTAGAAAGACTGCAGTGGTTAATGTCATGGATTTATCACTTTTAGCCCTTTCCCACTGATGTTTGACCTTAGCTGTAGTGTTTCTTCTTGTCCCTATACATATCAGGAACTAAAGCTGACATTATGTGCACTTTTGCTGTTTAAAGGCATTGAGCCTTTAATAAATATATTTTCATGTTTACAGGGATAGTGTATAAAATTTGATTCACCATCTTTCTGATGCTGAATTGATTAGTTTGATTTGATGGTGACAGGATCACTGTATGGTACCTGCATTAAAGGGGAATGTATTTGCTTGACTTTGTCTATTTTTGTCTGTGTTACTTTCATGTTTTATTTAAAAGCATTTCATGGCTAGGATAAGTTAAGCGGTGTAATTTGCCTTTATAAATTTATATAATTTCAGTTAACAAGGTGGCAAAGTCTCTAATCAAAGAAAAACGCTCCAGAGTGATAACATAAACTAGAGCTATTTCTTGCCCTGATTGCAAATACAAGTGTTATTCATAGTAATTTGATGGTTCTTGTGGTGTTTGTCTATCTTTTTGTTCATATGATAAAGCCTTATCCACCTTGTATCCACCTTACTTTGCTTTGTTTTAACAAACACAAGTTGTTGCTACATATACTTGGGAGTTTAGCCTGTTTAGTTAAGTAGTGAGTAAAAATTAAATGTCTCAGGACAACTGTATTGGGATATCGCTGGTATTGATTTGATATTGATATTTTAGGCAAGATGATGATGCAGTGGAGAGAATCTCTACAAAAGTATCTGGTTGTTATATTTGTGAAGTTCATAAAGAGAAGATTCAAAGAATCCTATATAGTGGCATGAGGTTTTGGTATTCACCAAGATTAATGATCCTTTTTGCTGGATGGCTTCTGTATTAGTACCATCAAGTAGAGTATTCAGTGCTAATTGTATTGGAAGGAGAGGTATAAGGTTATAATATATGAAAGGAAAGGGAATCATAAGATTGAGTTAAAATAGAAAAGTGAGCAAAGGACAAAATATTTCAGTGAAAAAATAAAATACTTACAAATGGTGTAAAATCTTTAGACTTGTTATAAGAGAAAGACAAAACTACCCTAAGATACCACTTGTCACCTATCAGCATGAAAGTTGCAGTATACTCTACATTTTTTTAATACTCTTTTAAAAGAATATATTTATTTATTATTTATTTGGCTGTGCCTGGCATGCAGGATCTTTTTAGTTGTGGCATTGCAGGATCTTTTTAGTTGTGGCACGTGGGATCTTTTATTAGTTGCAGCATGCGGGATCTTGTTTTAGTTGTGGGACACGGGATCTTTAGTTGCAGCATGTGGGATCTAGTTCCCTGACCAGGGATCAAACCCAGGCCCCCCTGCATTGGGAGCGTGGAGTCTTAGCCACTGGACCACCGGGGAAGTCCCTGCTCTACATTTTTAACTTTTAATTTTGAAATAACTGTAGACTCACAGTAAGTTGAAGATGGTTTCCCCAAACTGTGACATCTTATATAACTGTCGTAAAATATCAAAACCAGGTTGTTGACAATGACGTTTTACTGTTAACTAGGCTACAGACCATATTCAGCTCTCACCATTTGTTTTACTTGCATTCATTTGTGTGTGTATCCAGAATATTGAAAGAACTCCTATAACTGAATAATAAAAATATAAATAGCCTTATTTTAAAATGAGTAAAGGATTTGAATAGCCATCTTTCCAAATATGATATGCTAATGGCTAGTAAGCAGAAATGAGAGCCCTGGTACACTGGTGGTGGGAACATAAAATTGTACAGCTGCTTTGGAAAAGAGTTACCATTGACTCAGCAATTTGTCTCTGAAGAGATTTGCTCTTAGGAGATATATTACCAAAAGAAATGAAAATGTATTTTCATGTAAAAACTTGTACATGAATGGTCGTAGCAGCATGATTTGTAATAGCCAAAAAATAGGAGCAGCCCAAATGTACATCAACTGATTGATGGATGGTTAAATAAAATGTGGTATATACATACAGTGTAATATTATTTAGCAATAAGAAGAAATGAAGTAGTGAATCATGCTACAAAATGCTACAAAATGAATGAACCTTGAAAATCTTATGCTTAGTGGAAGAAGCCAGTCGCAAAAGAATACATATTGTATGAATCTATTTATATGAAATGTCCAGAATAGAGAAATCTACATAGAGAGGAAATAGATTGGTTGCCTAGGGCTTGGAGTTTGGAGGGAATCAGGTGGGGAGTGACTGTTAATGGTTATGAAGTTTCTTTTGGGTGATGAAAGTGTTCTAAATTTGATTGTCATAATGGTTGCACAACTCTGTGTATATACTATATTTCCTAAAGCAATCTATCAGTTATTTAGCAGACTTGGTTTAACACACTTTCCTGGAGACTGCTCGTATAAGCTTCTTTTCTTTTTCTTGTTTTCCTTACCTAACATTTTTTAAAGTCAAATGGAAGAATGGAAAAGAGAGATGAGAGAAATAATTTATAACCCATGTTTCCCCCCACTTGTGGTAAAATATATATAACATAAAATTTGCCATTCAGCCATTTTTAAGTTTACAATTCAGTGATATTAAGTACATTCACAATGTTGTACAACCATTGCCATTATCCATGTCCAGAACTTTTCATCATCTGTACCCATTAAACAGTAACTCCCCATCCCCCTGTTCTCACACTCCCTGTTGACCACCATTCTAATTTCTGTCTCCAATAGATTGCCCTTCATTAAAAAGACAT